ACAATTAGAAAGCAAGGTGCTGGAGCTAGGGAGCAAGGAGAGGAAAGCACATAAAGGTGGAGAGGTGGGCAGAAGCCAGGTCACGTGGGTCTGGGTAATCATGGAAGGGGTCTGGGGACACAGTGAGGTGCGGCAGCCTGGGTGTCTCCTGACCGTGCGGCTAAGATGAGCACTGGAGAAGGAGTCTGACGACTCCACTTCTTACTGTGTGACCCTGGGCAAGTCACTTGACCTCCCTGAACCTCTCCAGTGGCAAGTAAAGTGAGGATAATATGTATCCCCTGCCGTGCTAACCTGCAGAGTGTTGGTTCACAAACTGGCCCCCATCCACAGAGGGCAGGAAGAGAGGCAGACCACTCCAGATTGGTGGGTGGCAGTTTGAATCAGCAGGGGACTTACTTAGGAGGCTTGTCTTGGGCGGCCACAGATAAAAAAGATCTTGGGGGCTTCCCTGGTGGCGCAGTGGTTGAGAGTCCGCCTGCCGATGCAGGGGACACGGGTTCGTGCCCTGGTCCGGAAACATCCCACATGCCGTGGAGCGGCTGGGCCCGTGAGCCATGGCCGCTGAGCCTGCACGGGCGGAGCCTGTGCTCCGCAACGGCAGAGGCCACAACGGTGAGAGGCCCGCGTACCACACACACAAAAAAAATATATCTTGGCCCCTGCCAGCCAAATTTTAGAGTTTATAAAGAGGCCTTCACTGGGTTCAGTCATACCTTCCAGATGATTTCAACACCACATTACTATCTCAATGCCACATTCTTGGGCAGCTTCTGGGAGGCGGGGAAGGCAAGCGAGCACATTTCAAGGACAAAGGAGGGGATGAAGACCTGGGTCCAGCTTGCTGGTCAACCGGAAGTCATGTCCTCTCAATGACCTCCTCCAACACGGAGGTGTTTAGGAGACAAAGTGAGGTAATGGATGTCGACATCATGTGTGAACTTATTCACATTCTTAATGATTAGATAGAGAGAAGGCAGAGAATACAGTCTAAGAGGGGAAACAGTACAAGCAAAGGCCCTGAGGCAGCCCCAAACGTGCATATGCAGGGAGCAGGGACAAGGAAGGCCTGGTCTGGAAGGAGCAAAGGGCTCTGGAGGAGAGGTTGGGGGGGGTTAACGTGGGACAAGAGGGAGGGCCCTAGAAAGCACAGAACTTTGTTTTTTGGGGGAGGTTTTTTGTTTTTGTTTGTTTTTTACATCTTTGTTAGATTACAATTGCTTTACAATGTTGTGTTCGTTTCTGCTGTACAACAAAGTGAATCAGCTATATGTATACCTATATCCCCTCCCTCTTGGACTTCCCTGCCACCCTCCCCATTCCACCCCTCTAGGTCGTCACAAAGCTGATCTCCCCGTGCTATACAGCATAGAAAGTACAGGACTTTGAGTATGAGACAGAGGGCCTTACTTCACTCTGAGGGCAGAGAAGGCCCACTTGTTAACCGTTAGGCAGCCCATGCCCACAAGATAAAGCCTGTGACCAAGGGACACTTTGGTGACTCTCTGCCACTCATTAATTTTTTGACACAGGCAGATCAATTTTTAAAAAGTAAACATTGGGGGGCTTCCCTGGTGGTGCAGTGGTTAAGAATCTGCCTGCCAATGCAGGGGACACGGGTTCGAGCCCTGGTCTGGGAAGATCCCACATGCTGAGGAGCAACTAAGCCCGTGAGCCACAACTACTGAGCCTGCGCTCTAGAGCCCGTGAGCCACAACTGCTGAGCCCACGAGCCACAACTACTGAAGCCCATGAGCCTAGAGCCTGTTCTCCGCAATGAGAGAAGCCACTGCAATGAGAAGCCCGCGCACCGCAGCCAAGAGTAGCCCCCGCTCGCCGCGACTAGAGAAAGCCCGCACACAGCAACGAAGATCCACCACGGCCAAAAATAAATAAACAAAGAAAATTAAATTTAAAAAAAAATTAACCACTGGGGAGCCGCACGGAACAAGTCTGCAACCAGCTCCACCAGTGGAGATCCCCTCATAGATGGGCTTCCCAGACCAAGGGAGAGCACGGAAGAAGTGACCATATCCTGTCTCTTTGGGACTCTTTCCTGATTTGCACTCATCCCAGCTTGCTTGTATCTGGGCATGCTGTCCCTGCCGCCATCCCCCGCCTGACATTTGGGAATCCCAGTCTCCACCCCGGGGCCCAGCTCTGACCTGATGTTCTCATTGGGCACCTTCCCGTATCTCTTGATGGACGAACACTCATTCTTGTGGTTCAGCCAAGCATCCTTCTGGCAGGTGCGGTCACAGTAATGGGCAAACTTGCACTGCCCGCAGCGGTGGGGCTTCTCCTGCCTCTTGAAGCAAGTGTGGCACACAACGTTCACAAGGCTGGAAATGGAGGGAGAAAACCTGTGATTGGGGGACACCACACTGGCTTTAGGGAGACTGGGGTTCGGGTACTGGCTGTCCTTGTCTTTCTAAGCTTCAGATTCTCATTTTTCAAAATGAGGGGCTTGGGTTTCCAAAGATCCCCTCTAGCTGTAGCTATGCTTCTGGCAGATATTTTTCAGTGAAACCAATGT